TAACAGGCATATGTGGAGAGAGTGCTGAACAGAAGAGCCAGCTAGTTCATCTTTCCTCTGCTTTCAGTGAATATCTTCAACTTCAAATTACAGGTCAGTTTGGCCACAAACGAGCAGCAGAAAGGGGTAGCTAGATTCAGTTGCTGCCCAGCATAACCAATTCATTGGGGTCTGCAGGAATGAGAGGGGGCTAAGCAGGAGGAGGAAAAGCAATTCAGCACCACAGGATCAGATGGTACAGAAACACCAGCCCTTCCCTGTGTTCTCCAGTCAATAAACCTGCTTGGTTAGATGAGAGGAAATAAGGGAGGAGTTCCGCTGCTGCAATGTGGCTCTCCTCCTGCAAAGCCTGGCAGATCACCAGCTCCTGTCACACCAGGCAACCCACTGTCTCGGGGGCTGCAGCACGCAAGTACAGGCCGATCTATGGGCTGGTTGATGTCTAAGGAGCTGATGATGATCTGCTAGATTCTGTAGAAGAAATGCCTGGCACACTGCATTTCCCCTGGCTCGCAGCAAAGGGACTCTCCTTGCCCCCCATAATCTTCCCTGAGGTTCCATCTGACAAACCTCCTGAGGGGGAGGGAAGCCTTCTCTTCCTGTAATGTTTAGTTGCTCCTGTGAATCCCCATCTGGTCATCTCTGTTCCCTTCAGCCTATAGCTGAAGCACCTATAGCTGTGGTCAACTCCAACCTCTTCCTTCGGCACCTGGAGACCCATACATTATACTAGTAGCTGAAAGCCTGAGCTGTCCCATCAGTGTGGCAGTCGGACAATCTGTGCAGACTCCCTCATACAACCAATGAAACTGTCACACACAAATTAGCTGTAGAGTAAGGGTGGTGATTGGTTGAGTTATATTTAATATAACAATGGTCTAAGGCTCTTGGCATGGCATAGATACATGTCTCACTCTAGCTGTACACCACACTGGTATAATCTGTAAAGTCAAAATGGCTAAAATCTTAAAAACTGGATGGTAACAGACCATGAAACCCAGCGATGACTGAACCTGGTGGTATTTTGAACAGAAAGAGCTCTTAGCCTTGCTTGGATCTGTTTCCATTGCCTACCCTGACTCAACAGACATTCTAGGCTTCAGAGTGATACACAGAGTGACAAATCTGGAAACTTATTATACATATTATATCCTGGGATATGTAGTTCAGCCATACAACACAGCCCATAGAGAATGGGAGTATGAAATATCCAAACTATAGTTCCCATGAGGCACTGTGGCAGCACAGGTGAACACACAGTAATGTTGAATTGACCCAAAAAGAAACGTTTACATTCGGTTTGACTCAATGAAATGTTTCGATTTGGGTTGAACTGAAACAAAACACTTTCATTTCAATTTTCCCAACAGACAATTTTTTCTTCCAAAAAACACAAAGTTTTCCCCACAGAAAATTTTGATTTTTGCAGAAACTGCATTTTCCATTAAAAATGTAAAAACTGATGGAGAGCTCCTGACCAGCTCTAACACACACAGCCATTCAAAAGTGCCATGAAAACAGTTCAGTCTTACCATTATGATGGATGGTATTTTACTTGCTCATTTAAAAATATATATATATATATATAGGCAAGCAGAATTTTGCCCAGCTCACTGCATGTGTGTGCACGTGGGCAAAGGTATTAAGACACTCTCCCCAACATTTATTTCAACTCTCTTCTCTGATGTATGGAAATTGCCTCTTGGTTGAGCTTACCTGCAATGAGAACAAAATCCCTAGGCTTTCCTAGAACCATTAAAAATTTACATGCTAACACAGAGATGCTGAGAGCCATTGAACCAAACTGTAAACCCTGTATAGAATGGAAACCATTTCAAGTCAGGGAGTGCGACAGCACTCCCCAGTTCCAGCACCTATGTGCCAACATATTTATTTGTTGCACCAAACAATGCTGGGCCAAAAGCACAACAATTTATAATATTTCCCTTCCCATTTGCTTCTGCACATGTCCACTTACAGACCAATCCTGCAAGGTGTGGGATGTCCTCTTTCCCCTTTAGATTCATGGGGAGTTGAGGTAATAGAGTACCTTGCAGGATCAGGTACCTTGCAGGATCAGATAACTATAAATGTCTGTGCAAATACAGACACTTTTTTTAAAAAGAAAGAAAGAGGAACAGAAGACTCATTAGAAACATTGGTCTCTACAGACTGCAACTCCATGTCTAAGACACAGTGAAGCACGGGGCAGCTCATTCTAATACCCCATAGCCTGGCTTTTCCCAATCCTGGATACACACAGTACAATTCATTTATGCAACTCTTTGGTTCAAATCTTTTTCAGATTAAAAGGATGGGAGAAGGAAAATGGGGCAGCAGACTATTTTCCCCGTTTTTTGAAGGCTATTTTGCATGCCTCTAACAGAAACAGGAAGGCCTTTTTTTAATTTAAACACTGACATTTTGCAGGCTATTAATCTATTTCATGGATCAGGCCCTTCTGGTACACAAGGATTAGTCACAGTTTCAAAATCATGTGAGAAGCGGGTACTTTATCAAACACATTTGCATTTAACATTGCAAGTCATATTCTTGGTTAGGAAAGAGACAAGATGGTCTGTTTATTTTGTCCCCATCACAGAGGCAGGTATCACATGCACTACACTGTGCAATTTCCCGGGGGCAACATTTTTTATTACAAACTAGTGATAGCAGAGAGCTATTTTGTTCCTGTTCAAACCCTTCATCAGCACACTAGATCTCCCTGTCTGACTGCAGCTGCTTTGTTAGTGAACAGATTGTATGCAATGGCAAGCCCACTGTACGAGATTATAGGTATATGGTGGGCAAGGCCAATGGACAAGTCAATATGAGAACAAGTTTCACATCACTATCTACATCCCTAATATCTTTCTCATACTCATTCCTCGTGAACACACACATGCTGCTGAAACGAGGTCTGATTCCTGGCTCCTGGCAATATAATGCCTGTTCAGTGACCTGGACTGTAAAACCCCCCAACCACACACACACACACACTCCACACTGAATAAACAGGAAGGATGATTTTTTGGTTAAGACATTGGACTGGAACTCAGGAGAGCTGAGATCTGCTGTTGGTTCTGCCATAGACTCTCTCAGTTCTACATCTCTAAAATGGGAATAATAATCCTTTCCTATCTCACAAGGGTGTTGCGAAGATAAATACATTCATTTAGGAGGTGCCCAGATACTACAAAAACAACAAGGAGGCAGTGGCACCTTAAAGATTAACACATTTATTTGGGCATAAGCTTTCTGAAGAAGTGAGGTTTTTTTCCCCATGAAAGCTTATGCCCAAATAAATCTTAGTCTTTAAGGTGCCACCAGACTCCCTGTTGTTTTTATGGATACAGACTAACACGGCTACCCCCGATATCAGATACTACAGTGATGAATGCCACAGGAAAGCATAGAGAAAATACATTCTGATCTCTCAATAAAGCACACAGGTCCACAAAACATACCATATCTCTGCAAGGACCATGACTTTCAGCATTTAACAAGCAGGAACAGGTGCTGGAAGGAGCACCGGGTACAGACCTTAACCATACTTTAAGAATCACGTGTCATGAATTTGATGGCCTCAGCTTAGCTACTAGTGGTCCCAAATCCAATGAAATAGACAAATACCACAGCAAGCTGCATGTTGGCTCTACCTGGGTGCACATGTGACCCTTAGAAAGCGCTGCCCAGATTAATATAGAGCACAATGGTAAACAGAACTCCCTATACCTTGTCCACCTGCAGGAGCAACTTGAAAAGCAATCTGGACTCCACCCTGTGCTGTAGCAGAGGAGCTCCTATGCCTCGCCCGGTAACTGGGAGAATGCAGGAGCTGTGGGTTGGAAGTTGGCTTTGAGAGGCCCTGCTACTCAGCACTAACAGGGCCCACAGATTGACACTGTGAACCGACTCGACAGCATTAGTGGGGTCTGCAAATCTACAAGAGATCTGGCCAGAGCAGCACTGACAGGGCCTGTAAATCAGAACTGGATCTTGGAGTAAACAGATTCTAATTTAATCCAGATAATGACATTCAAAGAAGTGTTTTTAAAAGCTTGCTTTAAAGCAGGGAGTTAGATGCCAATAGCCGTGATAAACCACTCTGCACCAATAATGCAAAGCAACACTTTCTCACTCCCTCAATCACAAACACACACTCTCTCTCTCTCTCTCTAGTGGCTATTCAACAAAGAGGGAAGAAACAACTCCCCAGGTAACAGTCCACTTTTCATCTGCACCTTCTCCAGTCTGTCCCTTTGGTCCTGTTTCTAGCAGCAAATCCCCGAACCTAGTTACCTAGATATCTCACAAGGGAGCTTGGAGGATTAGTGAATGTTTGCGCTATGTAATTGTTAACCATTTATTATTAGCATTTATATATTTACAGTATTTCCCTAAAGCCAGAAAAGAGGCAGAGGTCCAAATTCACTTTGGCCTCTGTGGGAATTGCACCCCTTTACACCACAGCTGAATTTAGTCCAAGAATTGTTAATCCACCTCCCTGGAGTAAGTGATGCTAAGAAATTTTCCAAACTTCAGCACATCTTTCACTATCCTCTTTGTTTCCTCCCTAACTCCCATTCATTAGCTAAGGACTTTGTGGACTAAGGCTAGGCACAATCTAATCTACTGCAAGTCCCACTTTTCAGGGTAGGGAGCTTTTGGCTACTCCAGGGCTAACCATTTAAAAAATACAGATAAACTTGAGTCATTGAACACAGAGGCAGCAATGCAGGACTCAGTAGCTCAGACTGTTTGAGATTCCATCAGTGGGTTTAAGGTTACAATCTTCAGTTTGATTAAAAGCGTCTTCCCTGTTCCCCCACCCCGTACACTAAAACCCCATCACATCTGAAGCCCCCATTCAGTGCTCCATTTCCTGCCCTAAGATCCTTCCCCAAACCCTCAGGACCCTTCATGCACCATCTGATCAGGAAGGCTGCAGGGGAAAAACAAGCCATCTTGAATTTAAACGTTAAGGGAGAGAAACTTACTTTGCAGCGTTTGCCTTGGTGGGGCATCCACAGATCTGCCTGTTTAAAGAGCATCTGGGCTGAATCCCTGCACCACTTGGAACCTTCAGCAGCAACTTCCAGTACTGCGGCCCTCAGAGAAAGAGAGCAAGAGAGAGGGCGAGAGAACATGCACAGAGCCCAGCGCTGCAGAGAAAGAGACAGGAGCAGCAGAGTGAAGCACCAATCTGCTGATTAATTCAGCCTGTTTCCAGTCACGCTGCAGATCCAGCAAGGAGGCGGTGGATGAGGGGTGGGGTGAAGCGATGGGGAGGAAAAAAAGAAGAAAGTTCATACAGGATCACACCAGATGTCTGTAAGAATGACCCATTCATCAAATGGAGCCGACACAGCCAGATACCTTGTGTGTGTGTGTGCATATATGCAGATACATCTGCATATGCAGTAAGGGAGGATACTGACTGATAAGGACATATGGAAAAGCCGATGGCAAACTAGACAGGACAAAATGCTAGCAAATACACTACAGGGGGGAAGCCAGCACTGGCCAGCGTGGTAGACTAGAGAGAGATGGAAAAGATCTATCAAGTTCTATCTCCCCATTAATGTGTTCGTGGGAGATAGCAACAAACTGATGGCTTAACACCTTGGGGCTCAAGCTCAATTTTTTAAAGTTATTATTATTTAAATGATTCAGGAAGGTTACAGGCCTGATTTGCCAAGCTGAGCTGATGTTACTCTCTCCCTCGCTCTTGTTCCCAGCAGGGCATCCCAGCAGCACTCAGGATGCAGAGAGTGGCAGGTGCCCCTCTAAGCATCAAATATTCATAGAGAGCGCCTTGGGAGCTCAAACAGAAGGTGCAGTGCAGGTTATTAATAGCAGCACATTGTGCCTGAGGCTTGCCACTTACTGAGACCTGGGTCATTGACCACACAGGAGCTCATGGAGGGCATGAGATTAGTGGAGACAGAGAGCACATACAAGAAGCCCGGGGTGGAATTGGAAAAAGATACAGGGCAATGGACAAATGGATCTTTGGGATGATAAGAAGGAGCCTATCCCATTGCCTCACTCTAATCCTGTTATGCAGATGCTCCCCTCTATGGGATAACTTAATCATTACATATTTGGGGCAGGGACTGTGACCCGTAAGTATTTGTACAACTTCTATTTCAAGGGGCCCTGATCCTAATTGAAAGAAAAATATTTAACAATTACTGTACTACCACTCAAGATAGGAAGGACCCTGAATCTGGGGTTAGGACGGGGCACCCACACGTCACCAAACCAATGGCCATGTTGACAGCTTAACAAAATCCTGAGAGTTGTACCTAATTGTGTAAAATGGAGCAGATTGCAACCACCCACCTCTTGAATACACAGCAGCCACCTCTGCAGAGTAACCGTTTTACATGTAGTGTAGCTTGGCTACTCGATAAAGCTGGAGCGTTGCATGCTAGCATCAGCACTCTCCACTGGCCACAACTTCATGTTCACAAGAAGGGTGACCACAGGCTGCACAGTAGAGCTCTGCTTAAACCCATGATTGACCAAATGTGTTGCCCTCTGTGTCAGTCACAGGCCTCAGTAATGATTGAACCTTGGTTTGTTGACTTTTTTCTGAGCTCCATATGCCTAAATCAGTATGTGATCCTCAGAGCACCGCAATGCCATTGGCACACAGTCATCATGATATATACCCAAAGGTAGCATGTAATACATCACTGGAAAACTAATAACTCACTGAGCATTAATACTGTTGCATGATGGATGTACTGTAAACCCACAAAGGACTTAATAGATGTGTGCTGCAAATGTGTTCTTAAACTGTATTTGGCAAGCAGTGTCCAAGCCAGACTTGTTCCAGACAAAGAAACGTGGTTCCGCCTAATTGAATGTGAATGTGTCTCTGTTGTAAATTAGGCAAAGTATGACCAAAGACAAAGAAAAGCACATTTACGTACAAGGTAAACAAAGCCATCGAGAGAGCAAGTGAGGAAAGATGACTACTTAATCTTGATGGGGGATGGAGACTGCACCCCCAGGAAGCCTTCCTGCCTCTTGAAGCAGGGTCAATGAACTTTGGGAAGATATCACGGTGTCTACCCCTCAACAGGAGAGAGAAGCTTTGTCTGGGCTTACTGGACTCTAAAAAGAAAGGGGAGAGAACCCCATAGTTATCCACTGAGGGACTAAAATGTCCAGAGCTCTTGAAACCACAGAACGTTGGATCCTTCACTCAAGTGAGTGGGGGATTGAAGTCTCTGGGAACTGAGTATAGTAAGAAACCTGCTTAGGCAAAGATTGTAATTTGCTGAAATTAAGTTTTAGTTTTAGAAGCATATTTTTATTATTGTTTGCTTATAACTCTTTCTATATTTATTCCTTATACTTGGTATCATTTAAACCTGTGACTTCTTTTTTTAATAAACTTGTTTTACTTTTATTATAAAACAATTCAGTGCTTTGATTAAAACAGAGTGTTTGTCAAACCCAGGTTAAATTAATGAGTTGCTGGTTACTGTCTCTTCAAAGAAGCAGCAAACTTAGTAGCTTCTCTGAGTGTTCCAGGAGAGTGCTGGAACATTGCAGGACAGAAATAGGGGGTGGAGGCGGAGGGTGTTGGGGTCACCCTGCAAAAGTAACTCTGTGGTGGAAGCCAGGGTGTGACCTGCATGGTTGTAGGCTGGCTGTTGGCATCAGATCAGTGCCACAGCAGCATAGCATTTAAGGGACCCAGGATTGCACGGCAGACAAAGTGTCACAAGCATCAGCAAAGTCCTCCATTTCAAATCTTAAGTGCAGAGACCCTGGGTCCCACATTAAGAACCAAATCTACAGGCAGAGACCCAGGTGATCACATAGTATCACCAGTTCTAAGGGCTCTTCTCTCTACACTTGTGCTGAGCCACATATTTGTATGTAACCTTATAAATACCTACGGCCAAAGTTGAAGGAAAGCAGTGAGTGTATCTAATGTCATTGCAAGAGAGAGAGAGAGTGGAGTGGGGGTGTAAGAAGAGACAGCCTGTATCTCTCTCCAGGGCATTTTGTTTCCTAGATGATATCATCTTAAACTGCACAATTCTCTCTTCCATCCTCTTTTCTGCACAGTTCCTAGTAAGTAAACAGTTAAACCCTATTGCTTAGTGTTGAGTCAGAACCTTAAAATGTCAAAGAGAGGGAAAAAACTATTTTATCTTGCTTAGGTCTTAACTTTTTCCCAACTCTGTTTGGCTTCAGCCTGGCTCCAACACCCCAGTCTTCAGTAGCAAACCCAAGATAATGGAAATAAATTAATTCTACTATTCTTGTTGTACCATATTTTCTAGAGATCACTATCCTATGGTATGCTACACAGGACAACCATCCATGATACACAAGCATCCCTCCCTTGTTGGATTGACGTCAAAGATGTTAGCAGTTAGCATCACAAGTTGTATCTGGTTGTGTATTGTGACGAAGTTCCTCCCCTACCTTGGTGGGTCCTGCGCTTATTGGCGGATTTGCTCACCTCACAGATTCACCCTGTGGGTCGGGAAATAGTCCAGAGACCTTCCCCTCTGGTAGAAGCTACCGTCCAGGTCAACTCCTCCTGTGTTTGATCAGGAGTTGGGAGGTTTGGGGTGAACCCGGGCCTGCCCTCTACTCCGGGTTCCAGCCCAGGGCCCTGTGAACTGTAGCTGTCTAGAGTGCCTCCTGGAACAGCTGCGCGACAGCTACAACTCCCTGGGCTACTTCCCCATGGCCTCCTCCCAACACCTTCTTTGTCCTCACCACCGGACCTTCCTCCTGATGTCTGATAACGCTTGTACTTCTCAGTCCTCCAGCAGTACGCCTACTCACTCTCAGCTTCTTGCACACCTCTTGCTCCCAGCTCCTCGCGTGCACTTCTCCTCTCCTCTGGCTCCCCCTAGTCTGACTGGAGTGAGTCCTTTTATAGCATCAGAGGGGCCTTAATTAGAGTCAGGTGCTTAACTGCCTCACCTGACTCTTAGCAGGTTAATTGGAGTCAGGTGTTCCCATTAGCCTGGAGCAGCCCCTGCTCTGGTCACTCAGGGAACAGAAAACTGCTTATCCAGTGGCCAGTATATCTTCCTTCTACTACTCTGCTGTTCCCAACTGGTCTGGGTCTATCACAGTATCTAGCCTCGAAAAACAGAGTGTATCTTCAAAGAAACAGTAGCTGCAACAATCAAATCTGAGGATAAACTAGGTGTTGGAATAGAGGATAGGGAGTAAAGGCAGATTCAGTTTGGGACACAGAGAGAGAGAAGCCTGTAGAATAAAGATTGATTTGAGGAGAAGACGCGGTACTAGAGAAGCTGCAGAGCAGGGAAGGGAAGACGAGAGGTATAGCTGAAGATTCAAAGAGAATGACCACTGGACAGTACATAAGGGACATACGAGACAGGTGCTTAGACAGGAGCCATATAGGCTGCTTTGAGGAGAGAAAGTAGAAAGACGGGGTATGGGACATACCAGGCGGGAAGGGAAATTATCTGGCTCAGGGGATTGGTAACTTTTACTTTCAAGTTCAAGTTCTCCCCCCTGCCCCATAGCTCCCATTGGCCGGGAAGCCGGACCCGCTGCTGGCCACTTCTGGGGCGCAGCGCGGTGTCGGAACAGGTAGGCATTACTCTGACTTAGCTGTGCAGCACTGCCGACGGGACTTTTAACATCCTGGTCAGCAGTGCTGACCAGAACTGCTGGGTCGCGGAGCAAGGCGACCCAGTGCCTTACATGCCGCGACCCAGTATTGGGTCACAACCTGAACTTTGAAAAACACTGCAGTAGAACCTCAAGGTTACAAGCACCAGTTACACAAACTGACTGGTCAACCCACACCTCATAAGTACACAATCAGGAAGCAGAAGAGACACAAAAAAAGCAAACGCAGTACAGTACTGTACTGTGTTAAATGTAAACTACTAAAAAAATTAATGGAAAGTTTAAAAAAGATTTGGCGAGATAAGGAAACAGTTTCTGTGTTTGTTTCATTTAAATTAAGATGGCTAAAAGCAGCATTGTTCTTCTGCACAATAAATTTTCAAAGCTGTGTTAAGTCAATGTTCAGTTGTAAAATTTTGAAAGAACCACAACGTTTTTTCCAGAGTTACAAACAACCTCCATTCCCAAGGTGTTCGTAACTCCGAGGTTCTACTGTAGTACTTTTCCTCAGGAG